TACACCTCTCCCACTCATGTTCTAGATCTCCTTTGTAATGTGTCTTTCGACAATTTCCATCAATGAAACCTATTTTATTCTTCGCTAACAGTGCTACTCTCATGGAATTACTCCATCCAGTATAATTCTCAATACCAGTAAGTTGTAAGAAATTAAAATACTACTTGGTGTATCTGATGGATGCAGATACAAAGGATTTCTGGGGTGAATATTTGTGAATCTCTCGATCTGTTCTGGAATTGAGGTATTCCTCTCTTGATTCGAAGTTTCTGAGGAATCGACTCCAGCTCCAGCTCCGTTCGCCATTATCGAATCGAATCGGTGATGAAATAATGATTTTCTGGTGATTTTGTGTTTTTCGATGAGTGAATTATCGTCGGTGACCAACTGATCTTCCAATTCTCGAATTGTGCGGAAGAAAAAAACTCTCTAGAACAGCTAGAATTTCATCGGAACCTACAGCTTTGATACCATATTGAATGTGAGCTTACTAGCCATGTGAGAGCAGTTGAGGGAAGAATCGAGAATGAAAGAGATACAGAGGAAAAAATAAATTAACCGACTTACTTTCTAATTATCCCAAAAGTTTTATTTATACACAGCTAACAACTAACAAAAAATTAATTACTTGGTAACTAACTCACTAACAAACTTATTAACAAACTAACTACATCAGCTAATTATATACAATATTTATTTCATCATATACTTTACAAGATAGTCACCATTTACTACAACCCAAACAAATAAATTTTATGAAAACTAAGGCATTTAAAGATATGGAAGCAGGTTTAAATGACTATAAAAATGGAGTCCACATTAACTCCAAGGTTTTAACAAACAACTAACCAAACTAATGCGGAAATTCAACCCCTAAATCTGAAAGTCATTGTATCAAAACTCTACTAACGACAAGTCTAAGAACAAGGGGTACAACCCCGAAACTAAACAACACCTTTAAGAAATAGACCGAGGCCGAAAAGAGTGGACTTAAACAAGAAAGATCCATGGCAACCTGAAAGAACTGACTTACCCTTGAATCTGGTCACGCTCATTAGTCACCTAGCTGAAGTCTATCAATAGCCACCTGAAGATGCCCTGTACTAAACAAAGAAAGAGCAAGTGTAGTATCACTACACAACCAAAGTGTACCGGTAGGATCACCCCGCTATCCCAATAAGTGAAACACATGCAAGTAACCACAACATTATAAAACAGGCATATACTGAACATATACAATATTAGTCATCTTTTCAGGATCAATGTAGCATCACACATTCTCAATAATACACATTGGTTATTAATTTAGAGAAACATACAGTTTTCCAATATCAATCATCATTAGATATGAACGTAATCATCACAAGTAGATACACAACACAATTCATGGTCCTCTCACGGAACCCACACCCAAACTGTTAGCATACCGGAACGTGGTACCCGATCCAATGTATATGTCGGAATGTGGCAATCGATCCCATCATTATATCGGAACGTGGCAACCGATCCCACAATTATGTCGAAACATGGCAACCGATCCCAATTAGTGTGTCGGATCGTAACACCCGCCCGTTCAACAAACCACAATCATAATCATAATGTATATTCTCACAATCATACAACAAGAGGTGATTCATGGCATACAATTATTCAACTATCCTCATTTACGATTAGGGTGATCAATAATGCAACATTCGCATACATACATGCATTATAATGAAGCAATTACAAATATATATCACACCAACATGAAATCACAACCATCATCTACCTCGAAAACTTGATCCTTCCCTTTACGGATTCGTTCCGCTTGTTCTTGGTCTACAAACAATCATAATAACACGGGAATCAATAAGCAATCACTAATTAACCAAATTGCTAACAATTCTATGAATCTTAGATCATACCCATGATCCCAAGTATCCAAAATATGGTTGTTTCCACCATAGATTCCAGATCAAAACTTTTCCTCAATGATAATTACCCAAGAAACTACGTTCTACGGATCGAAATACGAATTCGGGGAGTGAAAAACTCACCTTTAGCCTCAAGAATGGTGGAAAACATTCAAGAGTCGCCTTGGGTTAGTTCCTTAGCTCTAAAAATCAAAAAGTGCAGAATGAGGTCGTTTAGGGGTTTATTTACGACCTTAAATCGCGTCTGGCCCGCCACAGCGTCAAAAACCCCCCCCCAAGGCGGCTTGCACGAATCAGAGAGCTATTTTAATAATTCCAAGACCCCCATTTCACAACACACCTCTAACCAACGACACTCAAAAAATCCCCTCCACGCTAAGATCGATTCCGGGAGTTCTACTCTCCCAAATTCAATTCTGTAAAGTCATACAGATTTTTTAACGCGTTATCTATCCGCTCATGTAATCAGAATTAAGAATAAATCACCCGATTGTTACCAAATTTCCCTACACTTCAAAGACTCCGATTTCCTCCAAATCTTGACTAGGTTGAGAAATTTCAAGTTACTACGAAAAAGCTTTCTTGCCCCAATTCTTTCTCCATTGGCTTTTCTCTAATGACGAAATCAGGTCATTACAATCACACCATTATTAGCGTTTATTGAGCTTCATTTTTTTTAAGATGCTAAAATTATATATTAATTTTTGAAGGCTTGGATTAAATTCAATAACTAAAAATGATAGAAATCGGCATAAAAAATTTGAATATCAAATTCGGACTAATTTGAAGTTGATTTAAAATAATATAAATAAATTTTGAAGCAAAATTGTGTTCAAATTTTTCACAATAGGTTTATGATGATCCGCCATAGTTATAATGATTTGGTGTGCAAATCATTCGAATTTAAATTAATGAAAAACTTATATTACTATTGAATATCGAATATCAAATGAAAAAAATAAAAAACTATTTCATCAATGTTTTTAACGTTGGTCTTTCAAACGGATTAGACAATAATCATCAATTATCTTAATCAATTGTTGGTCTTTCATTAATATAGTTTCTACTTTTTAAGTCTCATTTTTTTATTTTTTTTAAAATATTCAACTCTCCAAAACTACCATAGTCTGTTGGCAATTTGGCATTATAAAATTACCAATTTGCATAAAAATATTTGCTGGATAGGGATTAAAGTGGACTAGGAAACGCATTTCCTAAAGTTTTGTATACAAAATGTTATATTTCTAATGAAAGATTTATTATATTTGTCTCTTTGCAACTTTATAGGATTCGCATATGTTAGTGTTTAACATTTATGATAATTTAATGGAAAATAGAAATATAATCATTTGAATTTTGAATGGAAAGATTCAATCAGATTTTGGGCACTCAATTACAGAAAAATTAGTGGTGTGTAAAAATAGAATGTGTGACACGATTCAATTATAGTAATTTTGGCTCTTTTATGAAAAGGTCAAGGTTAATACTTATTTGATATTTATATTAAATTATATTAAGGCCAGTGGAGGTCATATCTGAAGAGAGAAAAAAGCGAGATTTTTTTATATTCTTAAAATGTAAAAGTACTTTATTTTAAAAAATTAGAACAATACATGTATCTAAATACATATAATATATTATTCTAACTAAAAACGTTATTATTCTAACTGAAAAATGTACGAATAAAATATGTATTAGAGTGTAACTCTATGTTTATGGATGTATAGGTATGTGTATCAAGACTGTATATATGTGGGTGGACAGTGATGACTAGAGTTATTATATAATCATGCTACGTTATTTTATTTTTTTCAAAATGCCACTATAAAGAACTATAAAATTTGGGGTCGAGATCACTGGTTCGAGTAATTTTTTCAACAATATATAATAATTAAGTGATTATATATACATATATATATATATATATATAGTATGAAATACTTCCCTTATTGTTAAATAGAGTTTTGTCTTGAATTTTCTATTTTATTTGAATTCTACACAATCGTATTTGAATTTAATATAGTGAAAGGGACTCTTGGTGAAAAAATTTCGCTAGCATAACAATATGGTGATTAAAGAATTTTGTTTAGGGAAGGATTTTCTTTCAATAATTTATATGATTTTGTTTATATATTTTTTTCCTATTTTTAGTTGTTGTAAATCAGAATTATTAGCAATGAGCCAATGACCAAGACTTCTTATAATTGATGGACTTAGGTGCTATTATTAATTCATCTATTACTACACCTTACCAATTTGTAGTAACATCATCAAATTTTGTAGATACCACAACTAATTATTGGTTACAAAATTAGGTTAAATTGAAGGACTTTTTCATTACAAAAATAGTTTAGTGACTTCCGTATAATAAAGTGAAAAAATGAGTGATTATACATGAAATTGATCCTGATCAATCCCATTTTAAACGTACTTCCCCAGTTTTCCCATTAAAATATAAGGGGTGTGGTGGGGGGATAAATAGAGAACTTGTCGATAGGAGTGCTTTACCACTAGAATAACAACAAGTTAAACGGTATATACAAAATATCTTGGCACGAGTTACCATTAAATTATTAGTATATGGTTGAATAGTTGAAATTCATTATTCACTCTTAAGTAGAGGTTTTCAAGTTTGAGCGGTAGAAAAATACACAACTTCTTGTTAGAAAGTTGTTTATCCCCTTATTGGACTTTTTTTTTACAGAATTGAATTTAGATGAATCGAATCAGTTAGATTTAGGATTATATATAATTAAATTAAATGTAAAAAAAAAATCATGTCAATTTTCATATTATAGTATTATTCACCTACATTTTATCTACTAGAACATGTAGTTAACAACATCATTTCACCATATAATTCTACAACAATGAAATGAATTGAAATATTTTTATTCACAAAAAGAGCTATATGTATAAAGGCAATAATCGATGAATTGCGTTAATAAAAATCTTACCTTTATTACCATCTCCAAGCTAAGAATGATTGGATATGGGAAGGGCGCTTCCCTCTTAATCGAGCTGTAATTACAAAGTTTAAATCATATAGTCGAATTAGTAAATTTCAAATAACAGAAGATTATTAAAAAGAATTACAATATTAATTACACCACGATAAAATCTAACAAATAAATATAATCTAACTTGAATTATTCTCATGATCATCATGAGGATTATATGGCTCCATATTAAGATCAAAACCTTTATTATTTTCTTCAACATTTTTTTCATTCTCTTTCTCTTTCATGTCTTCATTATCTCCGATGATTTCATCGGAGAGTTTTTGATCAATCTCCTCCGTCATTTTCCGTCCACTAGTGCTAGCTCCGTCAACTCTATTGAAATACTTAACGGCAACTTGTATTCTTCGTAGTATCGCGAAGAATTCTTCCACTTCCTCTTCCCCTACCTCCTCCGTTAACTCTTCCGTTTCCTCCTTCGGCTTCTTCGTAGCGGACGTCGAAACGACGTCGTTGTTATCCGGTTTTCTTTTTTCTCCTTCGCTTTCCATTGACGAAATTATGTAGTAGAAGACTTAGGACTGAAAGAAGTCTTTATTTAGAAATAAAATAGACAAAAAAAAAAAAGTATGCTAAAATGACAGGTCTGTGCGAATTTATTCGACATGTGATGCAGTGAATGAGACTGTTCTTGGGGATGTGAGAATTTATATGTGACGGACAAATAAAACTTTGGGAATTTAGGTATGTAGTGCCATGAATGAGACTGTTATTTGCTTAATAGAGATTTTGATATGAAAATATGATGCAGTGGATGAGACTGTCCTTTCTTATGAGAGATTTTGGTACGTGCTGTGAGAATTAATATGTGAGACAAATAAAATTTTGGAAATTTAGATATGTGGTGCAATGAATGAGATTGTTTTTGGAGCTGTGAGAATTTATATGTACATAAAAATAAAACTTCGGAAATTTAGGTATGTGGTCAGGGGCGGAGGCAACATATACTTAGGGCGTTCATCAGAACCCCATCGGCGGAAAATATTATTATTTATACATGGTTAAAATTATTTTTAGGTATGTATAATAGATGTCGAACCCCCTTCCACTAGCTCGTGTGTTTACTTCTCAGATTTTGAACCCCCTTATTAGAAATTCTAAATCCACTATTGTATATGGTACAGTGAATGAAACTGTTCTTTTCTTAATAGAGATTTTGATATGAAAATATGTTGCAGTGAATGAGCCTGTTTTTTTCTTGATAGAGATTTTGATATGAAAAATCGTTGATAAAAAGTCTTGGTCGAATCAAGTTTACGGAATTTAAATTCGAGTAATTTGTATACTAATACAAATATCGAATACAAATAGGAAGAGATATGGAAATTTGAGTTTATTATAGAGCTGTGACGTTAACTTTGTCTTTTCTGACGTATTTGAGTGACGTAAAATTATTCTTGGGGAGACGTATTACGTGGATTTGGTAAGAGATAGTGAAATGACAGTGACATCACTATGAAAGATGTTGAACTACTTTCTCCTTTCAATTTAGGTGGCACAGTTCGATTTGAAATAAAATACTTCTATCGTCCTAATTCACGTGGCATAGTTTAATTTGAAATAAAATATTTTTAATTATCTTAATTCATGTGGCATAGTCCAATTTGAAATAAAATACTTCTCATCATCCTAATTCACGTGGTATAGTTTGTTTTGAAATAAAATACTTCTTATCGTCCAAATTCATATGACACAATTCAATTTGAAGTAAAATACTTCTCATTAAGAGAAAAATGTTTTTACATTCTGTTACGTAATGTTTAATGATATTTTCTTTTTTAGAGTAACAAAAATAAGTGGCGTATGAAAATTGAATCAATCAATAAGTTAAATTGAAAGAATTAATGTTATTAAGTTATTGCTATTGAGTTATTGAGTAAATGAATTTTTAATGTTTTATAAACAAAATTATCAGGTTATTGGTTTGATATTAGTTTTTTTAATATTAAGTTATTAGATAAATTGATAATCCATTAAGACAATAGTAATTTACTACTTTATAGTTTACACCTACATGAAAATTAGTAGTAAATATTAATATTAATATCTTATTAGTTACTATATTTGTCCTTTAACCTTCAATTCACATTATTTACCTATTTCTTTTATTTGTGTTGCATTTGTAGAGTTATTTTCATGTTAGCTATTATTATTTCTATTTTATGAGCATTCCGTAAAGTTACATTATTATCTTATCGCGCTATTGGAGAAGTTATATTAGTTTTGTACGAACATTTTTTTACTGATTAAATCGAAAAGCGAATAATTAAGAATTTAGAAATCAATAAACATCGAATCAACTAATACGCAATAATAGAATCTATCGACGTGTTTGAGATTAAGGCATAATTACTATTGTTCCGGTGGAAAATAACATAGTAACATGAAGGTTGGCCAAGTTAGATTCGAAGTTAGCATATCCCTTTCAACAACACAACTATTAGGGCTATTGACATTATGTGATGCACATATCATTTATTAATTTCCGATAAAAAAATTATTATTTTTCTAAAAAAGGGTTTCTTCTCATTAAATTGTGAGCGAAGTTATTTATCGTATGTGCTGATAAAAAATAGAAAGTATTAGATAAATATTTTTAGGTGCTAAATGAATTTAGGATATCAAATTGTATATTTATCAAAATCAAAAGTGAATTCAATTATCAAATTGTAAAGAAACAATATTCTTAATAAATTAAAAAAGAAACAATATTTATTAGGAAAAGAAACAACAAGATCATTTTTGGAATAGAGTATTATCAACAATATATTTTTAGACCAAATCATTAACAGGGGTATTTTTGTTCAATTTCAAAAAACTTAAATTTTTTTTATTCTTTTCCAATATAATTATATAATTTCAAAAATTATCGAAAGAATTATTCCAACTATAAATGAACAAGTATTAGTATAGAAAAAGAATGATTAAAAGAATTATCTAGATGTATATTTGTGTAGCATTTATAGGAACTTCAAACATTTTAGGTAAATTAATTACTTTATTTTTTCTCTCTCTTTATATTTGATTGATTTTAATTTTTAGTTATCCAATTTATTAAATCAGCCGACGCTCCGGTCTATTTTAGTGTGGACCGATCCAAAGCTTACGCAAAAGCAAGTTTCGAATGAAGAAATCATCCAAACTACCAAACAAATACTTTCTCCGTCCTAATTTATCTAATTTTATTCGATTTAATAGGAAATTTTGAAAAAGAAATAAAAAATTAAAATTTTATGGTTTAAAACAAGTCATGGATAAAATGAATACTTTAAAGTTAAATTATTACTTATTAAATATAGAAATATATTATTTATTAAAAATTTGATTAAAAATAAATGTGTCACGTGAATAGGAAAAGAAGGAGTATGTCTTATAATTGGATATTATAATTGAAAGCAACATCACATCGATAAATAAACAAAATCAAAGTCATTTTGGTAAGGTATATCATGAATCAATTTACACTATATATCAATTCAAAATTTAAATAGATTTAATTAAGCGGATAATGTAAATTAATTTAATAAATAAATTATTATTAATACGTCCAAACTTAATTAGATTAGACGGGTCATGTTTTTATTGGCAATTGTATTTTGATTATATGTTTCTACAAGATGTGACATTGATAAATTATTAGAATCAAATAGTGATGGAGTATGATTATCAACTTGGGGTACTCATTTTATTCCTTTATTTTTTTTAGTCTATCTAAAAAAATTTATATTTAGTATGAATTTCTTACTTATAAAATCACCATTTACCCTTAATAATATGCTTTTATAATCATGAAAATATTATGGACATATTTAAAATTTTAAGAATTCTAAAATTATATTCAAAATGAGTCAAATGTCTTTCTCTTTTTTTTAAACGGTTGAAAATTAACATTATCTTTCTTGTAGTTACATTTTTACCCTTAATAAGTGAAAAGTGTCACTTACAAAAGATTAAAGCTAAATTATTTTCTTACGAATTTCTTTTAGTTTACATATAGCTAGATTTTCTTGCAACCAAGCGCACCGTTAGCGATAGTAAAAAGGAGTACTTTCAATAGATCGTGATGCATCTAAGGGTATGATTTAATGGTCGATAAAATAAGTTAAGAATCATGTCTGAACGAGATTTTTGTTCAAATTTCAACAGAAACAAAAAAAATTACAAGATAATTTATTCATCATTGTCCTCATCTTGAAAGACAAAATTATATGATACCTATTACACGTAAAAGGTAACAGATCATAGGTTCAAACGGACTCGATAGCCATAATTATATAAAAAATATATATCAATAGATGGTGGTACCAAAAAATTATTAAAGGAGTACCAACAACATGTTAAAAAATTTGAACATGATGTTATAAAGTATAACCAGAAACATCATTAAAGTCTCAGAAAGTTAAAAAATAATAATTCTTGCATAGTACTTTTGCTCCCCTTTAAAATATGCTTATCTTAGCATTTATTCTACGTACAGATCGACACTTCATTCAATATGTCTGGTTTTTTTTCAATCTAACGTGCGATCGGTATTCATTTCGGGTACTAATAATTCAAATTTGTGTCGAGTAAGGCTTATGAAATAAGGAAGAATTACCTATCAAGTTTTTTTTTTTTAATTTTATTTTCAGAATTTAAACTTGAAATCTTTGATGAAAGGTAGATAGATATGTTGGTGCAGCAAACAAAAGTCACATATAAATAGCTAAAAAGAAAAGGCTATGAATAAGGTGTATGAGAACTCTTAATGGTGTGAGGTCGACCTAATAGAAAAAATCATACGACTTGGTTCAAAACGGATAATACACTCTATGTTAAGAATATCTTTAAATTGTTTAATCCTAATAACTCATATAAGAGTCAATGGTTAAGTGAGACGAGTATGAAGAAAAGGATTTATTCCGCTTTCAAATAAAGAAGAGAAGGGCAAAAGGGTCTTTGTAACTACAAATAATTATATTTCCATTACATTGCGAATAGTGGCTGAACTTTAAAAAGTGGACCAAAAAGTTGTCAGCCCGTACCATTTTAGCATTGGCCCATGTATGAATATTGGCCCAAATATAATGTACACAATGCTAATGTACCAAAAAACATGTGATCCCCACTATCGATCGATAAATCTATTTGAAAACAGAGCTTTTTTATCACAAATTTAGATATGTTATTAACATTAGTTCATCTGTCAATTGCATTGAGTTTTCCACTCCGTTGAAAAATATAGAGCAAGTCTACAGTAGTTTAAAACTTGAATTGACATAATATCGCGAAGTGGCCCTTGTTCGATCAATTTGACTCAAACCTTGATGTTGTGACTCAGGCATTACTCAATAAGGCTGACAAAATTATGGAAACAAACAAAAAGAAACTAGTTAATCCAGTTGTAGGTAATGTTAGATGGGATTTCACATCAAATATAATTGTTAAATCCTACTCTAACTAATTTCTTTAAGAAAAAATTTATTAATAAATAAAAGGATATAAAATGCTGAATATTTTTATGCCATAATA